ATGATTTCTGTCGTATCACGGGCTTTTCAGCCAAATCAAACTGATACGACTCCTTAAACTCTAGCATTTGTTATGTAACATAAATGCATTGTAAATGAATAGCATTGCTGTACCACACTCCGTAAAATACTCATTTGTTCAATTATGTTCTATTTGAATGACAATTGATAGGCTTCAGCTGATCCAAAAAACTTTTCCAAAAAACTTTTCACAAAAGTGAAAGTTAGTATCCAAAGTCAATTATAGTAGCCTACTCGACACCTGACAACAAAATTTTAGTTTTACAAATTTAAAATGTCAAAACCACCCTGTGCTATTTGGCCTTGTTATTTAAAACCTGCACCCGTTCACCTTTCAACTCCATATGCATAAGAGTTCAACGTTATGTCATCAATATTCATCAGTGGGTTGCATCCATGTCGTCAAACATCATCAACGAGTCTTTTACGAATTTCAAGACGATTTCTTGTTAATTACGAGAATTATTTTATTCTTTTCTATTTCCCGAGTAGTGAAAGTTTACAGAAACACATTGATTTTACTAGTCAAGCCAATGTGTTTGAATTCAAAGATGAGGTCCATTGTTTCAATAGGTAACAATTACAAGAAATTGTCTGGGGTTCCAGTAAAGTTATGTTTTCTGTGAAGCCGCAGACAGCGATCTCACATGTATAATCTTATAACACAATGCAAATTTCAGAGACATTGACATTCAAAGGTGACATCAACCGGTCTAACAACTTTCGTCTTCGGTCAAGACCTGAGAATGTTTTGTTTAATACAAACTCCTTTCACTCTTTTTCAAACTATTATTTACAAACTATAAACAAATTACGAAAAAATCTCTCGTTTCTCATTTTAGAATTAATTAAACCGAATGTGTGCTTACTCTTTCGCAACTAGGTTTTTTAGCCAACAAGTAAAATAGTCAACAAGTAAACGTTTTAAAAGTCACATGAAAAAGAAAGGACAAGAAATGGTCATTACTGGGCCTATAATGCCTGTAATATTGCCTGGTAATTGAGTGTTTAAAGCTGCTAAAATAACTTAACACAATAAAAATCGAAAAACATCTCTAAACACAATATGCTGTACAGAAACATACATTAGGGCCTACTATTAATTAATTGTTCATGTTATTAAGGATGGCCAGTCTATATGGGGGTATATTTAGTTCATTGTATAACGCTTTCAACTAATAAATTGTGTTTGACACACTTCATTACCATATTAAAAATCAACGTATTGTTGTACACTCCAGCGTCTTTCGTGTGACGTCGACTATCAGAGCTTTGAAAACTAAACTTAAACTAACTTAAACTTAACTACACTCGAAAGAAGGAAAAATTACCGGTATTCCATCTATGTTCCTTTCAATAAAAAGCCATTGAATATGATCCACATGGATAGAAATTTTTCTTCAGCATCTAAAAGTCAATTTGTATTCATGTTTGTTTATCCTTATGATCCATAAGGATAAATATATGACGATGCATGTTTACTCCAATATTACGGTGTTTATCCGTATTTTGGCTAGTCTGGATTGGTTTGTTTAATTCATGCAATCAATTAGACTAAATTTAAACCTTTTTATGCAGTGCACACAATCTCAAAAGAACGAAGTTGATGAGGAATGTTAGTGTTATAAGCTCTGTAACAATTTCCTCTAATCACAGCACAGCTAGATATTATTATTCACAAACCGGACGGTGGATGGTGCAACGTGGGTCTGTACTGTACAGTAGTTGAGTAACACCCTGTAGTGTACATCCTCCCTACATTCCATTCTAATTGGTTGCAAGTTACATCTACAGGCAGTAAATATCCAACGGCCTAGAACTATGTCGTGATCCACGTTAAGGAATGGTTTTTAAAACGCAAATATCGCTGATGCAGTCCTTTGGAGTTATATATCAATTAAGCTGTAGAATTTTTTTTATAAAATTAATGTATTAAAAATGTCTGGAAGCTACGTATTGTTAACAAACAGAAGGTCAACAGAAGGATTTATTCATCAGAAAAATAAGTAGTAGCCGTTGGTACGAAAGGAGACCCAGATGGCCGTGGCTTTTTACAAATGGTCCTTTCTAAGCTAACAGCTGATCTCAGTCGATAACATGACAAAGCTGAACGGATCACCTCAATCAATTCATTTTCAGCAAAAAATGTATTAGAGTACGTTAAATAATTAGATGAATCTTGCGATACTGACGTGTTGCGATAATGAGATGTTTGTCTCAATTCCAGCCAATGCATTTTACAGCTTTGTTCTACTTATTGTTACGTAACTAATATTACAACTATCTGTCGTGGTTCCTCCGTACTCCAGTTCCAAGGAAGTCTTCCAACACAGTACATGTCCAGCTTCACACTGGCCGCCCTCACTCACTCATTCACTTACTCACTCATTATCGCTGCTTTCATTTCCTGAACATTCGTGTAGTTCACACTTCCTTATTTTGGTCCATCTCTTGCTCGTATTATATTTCACTCAAGTGTCATGATTTCTTTGATAACATCTCGTTTCTTGTGTACTAGCAATGGAAAGAGTTCGTATGTTCTTAAAACAAAACGTGTGCAATAGCACCAGATCAAACATACTCCCAAGATCCTTGGAACAGCTGAAGACAATTTTAAGATCAGTTCCGCCCACTTAAAGATGTTTTGTTTCTGTTTGTTGTAGTGTGTGTTACCTGCTATCTAACTATTTTAACATAATTTAACACAATTATTTAGACATAATCACAAACAATAGCTTGTCCTCTGGTAATATAACCAAAAGGTAATGCACGAGTTGTGCAATTTACCTTAAAATAAAAGGTACACATTTTCCCACACCAGCGCCTAAACGTCTTAGAAACGACACTTTAGGAAACGCGTTTCGTTTGATATAAAACCATATACACTGAATACATAAAATTATATGGATCATAAAACAGACAAGCTAAAGCCCATTTAAATTAATAAGTCTATTCATGTTTTATGAAGGAGGCAAACGTCAACCTACTGTGAGTGTCCTTACTATTATAGACGTTTCAAAAATATATCTACGTTCTAAGATGTGAAACACGACATTTTGAAAATCTGGATCCATTTTGATAAACTGTAAGAGGTTTAAGATCCAAGCCCCATTTTCCCGTTACGTACTTAGCCGTCTAATTGACTGGATTAGTAATCATTTGTACCAGTCCCGAGTGCTGGGACTGAGATACAGTACCAGACACGATGAAGACACTTGTAGGCTAATGGAATTTATAAAAAAAGGCAGCAATTCATTTTAGAAAACGTTTTTATTTCAAAATAATTTTCACTGTGGGTTAGAGAGAATCGAAAAAGAATAAATAAATAGGTTTCTTGTGACACCGAATTGCATTGAAAAATAAGCTTTTTAAGGTGCCCAGCTCGCGAGAAAGATTGTATAAGCTAAATAGTTAACTCAAGAGTGTACTCAAGTCTATGAATTAAATTTCTGTTAACGAGGTGTTAAATAATAAAATATCACCTACCTACCTAAATAATATCATGATAGTTGAGGACACTATTATTAAATTATATTATTTAGGCAATGTTGTTCTTATAAAAATAAATTAGCAATCCATATATATAAACAAAAGTACTGTTGAAAAAACTAACAGTCACATCCCCATAAACCATAATACATAAAATGTTCGTCATGACGAGAAACCTTGGGCGTGGGCCAGCTAGTTTGACTTTAAACAAGATTTGATGATTTGTCTATGGTTTTAGCGGTTTTTGTATTGTTTGCCTTCCAATACAAAATGACGTTTATTGTGTTAGTTATTGATTTCTTCTGCTGTAATGTTTTGGTGCTTTGCAATACATTTATAAGACTCAAGTTGAAGTTGGTGATGTCGGGTCTGATTAGTTATCACAGGCCCTGACAATGTAGGTAAACTATATTGTTGCAGAGGGGGTAACTTATGGCTGGAGGGGGAAAAAAGGGGGATAGGGGGGATTAAAACAAATAAAGGGCCTCGCTTTAATATATTGTCCTGGGCTTCGCGGCGCTAAGAACGGCAGTTCTGTTAGATGTTTAGCAACACTTGGCTGAACTTCCATTTCCATCGGAGGAATGGAGGATAACATTCGATCCTGAGAAAGGTTAGTTGTGGCTTTTTGATGGTTCGGAAGTGAACCAAACTACTGCCCTTAATCATTGGGCTGTTATGGTCTTGGTTTGGCTAATGAAACAGTTGATCTCATGCAGTAAGCTACGCAGTACCTCACTTCTTTCTACACATTCTTCTCTCATATTCGGGTTAAAACACACACACCCCATCTCGGTTGGTAACAATAGTATGATATTTTAGAGAGAGTGGAAACATAGGTGCCCTCAGAGTGTGGGGTCCTGTAGATAGGGACTCCTACCAAACATGCAACTTACTGAAAACCCCCTACTGTACTTTGATGGCCACGCGCTGGTTGTGACTCTACTACTGTGTTGTCCTAGGTACGGTCGAGTGTTACGTTGGATGAAGGACGTCAACATGCCAGCTCTGGAGCGTTCCTGTAACGGCGCGTTGGCGCTGCACTACGCCGCGGCCCGGGGATGTCTGGACTGTGTGATACTGCTAGTGTATGACATATCTCTACTCAACTACTGTGTTGTCCTAGGTACGGTCGAGTGTTACGTTGGATGAAGGACGTCAACATGCCAGCTCTGGTGCGTTCCTGTAACGGCGCGTTGGCGCTGCACTACGCCGCGGCCCGGGGATGTCCGGACTGTGTGATACTGCTAGTGTATGACATATCTCTACTCAACTACTGTGTTGTCCCAGGTACGGTCGAGTGTTACGTTGGATGAAGGACGTCAACATGCCAGCTCTGGAGCGTTCCTGTAACGGCGCGTTGGCGCTGCACTACGCCGCGGCCCGGGGATGTCTGGACTGTGTGATACTGCTAGTATATGACATATCTCTACTCAACTACTGTGTTGTCCTAGGTACGGTCGAGTGTTACGTTGGATGAAGGACGTCAACATGCCAGCTCTGGAGCGTTCCTGTAACGGCGCGTTGGCGCTGCACTACGCCGCGGCCCGGGGATGTCCGGACTGTGTGATACTGCTAGTGTATGACATATCTCTACTCAACTACTGTGTTGTCCTAGGTACGGTCGAGTGTTACGTTGGATGAAGGACGTCAACATGCCAGCTCTGGAGCGTTCCTGTAACGGCGCGTTGGCGCTGCACTACGCCGCGGCCCGGGGATGTCTGGACTGTGTGATACTGCTAGTGTATGACATATCTCTACTCAACTACTGTGTTGTCCTAGGTACGGTCGAGTGTTACGTTGGATGAAGGACGTCAACATGCCAGCTCTGGTGCGTTCCTGTAACGGCGCGTTGGCGCTGCACTACGCCGCGGCCCGGGGATGTCCGGACTGTGTGATACTGCTAGTGTATGACATATCTCTACTCAACTACTGTGTTGTCCCAGGTACGGTCGAGTGTTACGTTGGATGAAGGACGTCAACATGCCAGCTCTGGAGCGTTCCTGTAACGGCGCGTTGGCGCTGCACTACGCCGCGGCCCGGGGATGTCTGGACTGTGTGATACTGCTAGTATATGACATATCTCTACTCAACTACTGTGTTGTCCCAGGTACGGTCGAGTGTTACGTTGGATGAAGGACGTCAACATGCCAGCTCTGGAGCGTTCCTGTAACGGCGCGTTGGCGCTGCACTACGCCGCGGCCCGGGGATGTCTGGACTGTGTGATACTGCTAGTGTATGACATATCTCTACTCAACTACTGTGTTGTCCTAGGTACGGTCGAGTGTTACGTTGGATGAAGGACGTCAACATGCCAGCTCTGGAGCGTTCCTGTAACGGCGCGTTGGCACTGCACTACGCCGCGGCCCGGGGATGTCTGGACTGTGTGAGACTGCTAGTGTATGACATATCTGTACTCAACTACTGTGTTGTCCCAGGTACGGTCGAGTGTTACGTTGGATGAAGGACGTCAACATGCCAGCTCTGGAGCGTTCCTGTAACGGCGCGTTGGCGCTGCACTACGCCGCGGCCCAGGGATGTCTGGACTGTGTGAGACTGCTAGTGTATGACATATCTGTACTCAACTACTGTGTTGTCCCAGGTACGGTCGAGTGTTACGTTGGATGAAGGACGTCAACATGCCAGCTCTGGAGCGTTCCTGTAACGGCGCGTTGGCGCTGCACTACGCCGCGGCCCGGGGATGTCTGGACTGTGTGAGACTGCTAGTGTATGACATATCTGTACTCAACTACTGTGTTGTCCCAGGTACGGTCGAGTGTTACGTTGGATGAAGGACGTCAACATGCCAGCTCTGGAGCGTTCCTGTAACGGCGCGTTGGCACTGCACTACGCCGCGGCCCGGGGATGTCTGGACTGTGTGAGACTGCTAGTGTATGACATATCTGTACTCAACTACTGTGTTGTCCCAGGTACGGTCGAGTGTTACGTTGGATGAAGGACGTCAACATGCCAGCTCTGGAGCGTTCCTGTAACGGCGCGTTGGCACTGCACTACGCCGCGGCCCGGGGATGTCTGGACTGTGTGAGACTGCTAGTGTATGACATATCTGTACTCAACTACTGTGTTGTCCCAGGTACGGTCGAGTGTTACGTTGGATGAAGGACGTCAACATGCCAGCTCTGGAGCGTTCCTGTAACGGCGCGTTGGCGCTGCACTACGCCTTGGCCCGGGGATGTCTGGACTGTGTGAGACTGCTAGTGTATGACATATCTGTACTCAACTACTGTGTTGTCCCAGGTACGGTCGAGTGTTACGTTGGATGAAGGACGTCAACATGCCAGCTCTGGAGCGTTCCTGTAACGGCGCGTTGGCGCTGCACTACGCCGCGGCCCGGGGATGTCTGGACTGTGTGAGACTGCTAGTGTATGACATATCTGTACTCAACTACTGTGTTGTCCTAGGTACGGTCGAGTGTTACGTTGGATGAAGGACGTCAACATGCCAGCTCTGGAGCGTTCCTGTAACGGCGCGTTGGCGCTGCACTACGCCGCGGCCCGGGGATGTCTGGACTGTGTGAGACTGCTAGTGTATGACATATCTGTACTCAACTACTGTGTTGTCCCAGGTACGGTCGAGTGTTACGTTGGATGAAGGACGTCAACATGCCAGCTCTGGAGCGTTCCTGTAACGGCGCGTTGGCGCTGCACTACGCCGCGGCCCGGGGATGTCTGGACTGTGTGAGACTGCTAGTGTATGACATATCTCTACTCAACTACTGTGTTGTCCTAGGTACGGTCGAGTGTTACGTTGGATGAAGGACGTCAACATGCCAGCTCTGGAGCGTTCCTGTAACGGCGCGTTGGCGCTGCACTACGCCGCGGCCCGGGGATGTCTGGACTGTGTGAGACTGCTAGTGGACGCATCCTCCGATCTTAGGTAAGTCAGAAACTCTTCAGCAAATTTAGTAGACTATGTGTAATTGTAAAATAATGATTATTGACCAACTGTGTTTTTCTGGATACAAAACCCGGGAACTAATGTAGAGTCGGTGGCTCAGTTCATCGATTCACCTACATACATATCCCTGCTTACAAATCTCTACCTCCACAACCCTACCTCTTGGTACTCTAAAACCTTTCTTTTTAAGAAATCCTTGCTTAGACATCCCTACTTCCCCTTACCTCAAGTCTCCTAACTGCAAATACAACTTACAAATCTCTGCTTCAGAAAATCTACTTCCACCTCCCTTTTTCATGACTCCTACCTCCTAACTCTAAACACCTACCTACAAATCCTTATTTTTAAATCTCGACCTCTAGTTCAATCCCATTAGACCCTTCTTTCCACATCCTTACTTCTTGATTCCTTCTTCAAATCCATCTAAAAATGGAAATCAGCAATAATGTTGGGCGTCGTTGGCTCGGCCTAGTCGGCAGCGCCACGGAAGGCAGCAGCAGCGATGTCGTTGGTTCGTGTCTCGGGGCCACCAAAAACATTCATCAGTACAGTTCATTCTTGTATTGTACCGACTCATACATTAATTGCTTAATAAATTTACAAAATTGCGAGAGCCGAGGCCCAATTGAACGAAAAATGTTAAGGTTAAATAAGGATGCCTCCCTCTTGAAAATACTATATTCAAGATATTGAGATGAAAGTAATTAGCCTACGCTAGTTATCTGGTATTGAGTTCCAACGAAAGATTATACGTTTTACTAGTGGCCTGTAGGGGCCGTAGCCCCTAATTTAGACTACAATAAAAAACATATATAAAAAGACAAATATTCGAAATATGTTTTTAAAGTTATCAGTTTTATGTTACTTAAAATTAACAGTGTTTCTTGTTTTATATCTTGGTTTACCTTCCGTTGGAGTCGTATATTAGTTGCTTCTGATGTGTCAATGAAATACAAATGTAAAATAATGACTAAATCAATAACACAACATAGGCCTATTAACAAATGGAAACGTGCCCACGGTTTGGCCTGAGTCCGGAGAACGACGAATCAGAGCTGAAATCATACAGCCAAACATTGCACATCTTTTCTACTTCAAAATTAAAGATTTTTTGTAATCCTACGAATTCTGTTATAGTTTTCATTTTGAGAACCAAATGTTAAAATTATTATTAATTATTATGAAGGAAACTCCCCATTTCGCAGTAGTAAGTCAGAAATATATCTATGAATTTGTCCCTGAATTTTAAGACAGTAAGGCCCATTTCCCGGAATCTCTTTTTGTGTAGCGGAAAGCGACGCAAAAGCCATTGGACTGTTGTAAAGCCTTATTATTATTATTATTATTAGCCTCATGTTGTTTATGAAGTTTGAATCATGTAAAAACAGTTCATTTAGTTCGTCCTTTAATTGTGGTTGTGGCATGTCCATTATGGCAACATGCGTTGAAATGTCCATTTGTGGCCTCCTCTGCGAAGTGAAAAGCGCCACAATGCATGCAAGAGGACCTAGATTGTGAGAAACAACACTCAACTCATTTTCCAGCGTTCTTCTAAAGACAGGTTGTAAAACAGCTTCTGGATTTCTTTCACAGTTAGGCCCTACATGACGTTCTCTTTTGCATTTCTGAAGTCTGTTGAATTCCTGGACACTCTTCCACGTCTTGCAGGTCTTTCCATACCCTGTCTAGTTACTTCGCTCAATATAAAAACGAAAAACAAAAAATTAAACACAATTCATTTTGAAACATTGTTTACCAACATTGACTTTCGGAATCAATGTAAACATTGCAAATAAATAAGTAACAGCTGATAGAATGCATACGTTTTTCAGTCCCCATGCATTTCTTATGGTGGATATTTTACGTTATAACTCGTTTTCTGGTAACTTTATGGGAATTCTGCTATTTTTCCCGAGTCCCTGGGGTCAAGACCTTTAATTTAAGACCCCTCCCACTTTTCTGCGACTTACCAGACGTCCACAATTTTCTGGTAAAAATTTGGTCTTACAGAATTATATATATAGATAGATGTAAAACTAAACGATAAAAAAAAACTAGGCTTATACCCCGTTTGTCTTCATAATAAATAAAACTATTGATTACCCCACCGGGTTGGGTGGCATTTCGAGTGGCTTTTCATGGTTACTTCGAAAAACAACGTTGGACTTAATAAGCTATCAGGGCAGAGTCCTAGGAGAATATAAAATAAAAGATGAGTATTTCCATAAATAATCAGTGTACCCAATTTCAGTCTTCACGGGTAAATGGGAAGTAGGAGAATTAGTGATGAGTGAGTCAGTCAGTCAGCTAGGTCTTTGCATTTTATAGGTACAAGAAGATACAATACAATCTTGAATTATTAACTTGAATTATTTTTATAATTGACATAGGTAAAAATGCATAATGTTGTTCAAAACTGTCATAATAGTCACTTGTGTATTAAACGACATTCCATTTTAGAGCATAGATCTTTACTCCTAATTATTCAAAAATATTTCCAGACCACCACTGACCCAGTTGTTTTAATTAAAACAAACTAACAAAACTATTAGTGCAGTAAAAATAAGCGAAAAATTCCATAAACCTAAAAAAATTAGCACACGATGTAGGGTGTGCCTTCCTTTTGAACATACTTAAAAGTACATACTAAAAGTCCCCTAAAATTGAAGCTGTGCTATGGTCGCCATATTGGAATATGGCGGCATATTTCTGTATTTCTGGCTATAGTGACTTTATTATCCTACTAATATTATAAATGAGAAAGTTTGGATGTATGGATGTATGGATGGATGTATGGATGTATGGATGTATGGATGTATGTTTGTGACAAGTGAACGCGAAAAATACTGGTCGGATTGGGCTGAAATTTGGCATGATGATAGCTCACATTCCCGATTAACATATAGGCATATTCTTATTTATTTCAAAAATCCTTTCGGGTTCCGCCCCAGTGGCTCTGGAGTTTCCCATGTTAACCTTATGAGAAATGGAATTATTGAATCTTAACAGCTGTTTCTTAAACAAGTTGGTTCTGTTCTATGATGTTCAATAGCATTAAAGTTACAAGGATTACCAACAGGGTGCAGCACTATTATTTCTTTTACATTTATGACAACAGCTAATTTGCAACCAAAAGGTGAGTGAGCGTAGCGAACGAACTTCAACCTGGAGGCGAGTTAGCGTAGCGAACGAGCTAACCTGAAGGCAAGTGAGCGCAGCGAACGAGCTCCAACCTAAAGGTGAGTGAGCGTAGCGAACGAGCTCCAACCTAAAGGTGAGTGAGCGTAGCGAACGAGCTCCAACCTAAAGGTGAGTGAGCGTAGCGAACAAACTTCAACCAGGACGTGATTGAGCCATGCGAACGAGATAATCTTGAAAATTAAGAAGTTAAACGGGGCAAAGCCCGCGGGTTACAGCTAGTTAGAAATAAAATATGTAAATATACAAAATGTAGTCCATCTAAAAATACACATTTTTTAATTGTACTATTTTGTATGTTTAACATATGTTTATCCTACTAATATTATAAATGAGAAAGTTTGGATGTATGGATTTATGTTTGTGACAAGTGAACGCGAAAAATACTGGTCGGATTGGGCTGAAATTTGGCATGATGATAGCTCACATTCCCAATTAACATATAGGCATAATATTATTTCAAAAATCCTTTCGGGCTCCGCCCCAGTGGCTCTGGAGTTTCCTATGTTAACCTTATGAGAAATGGAATTATTGAATCTTAACAGCTGTTTCAATTAAACAAGTTGGTTCTTTTCTATGATGTTCAATAGCATTAAAGTTACAAGGATTACCAACAGGGTGCAGCACTATTATTTCTTTTACATTTATGACAACAGCTAATTTGCAACCAAAAGGTGAGTGAGCGTAGCGAACGAACTTCAACCTGGAGGCGAGTTAGCGTAGCGAACGAGCTAACCTGAAGGCAAGTGAGCGCAACGAACGAGCTACAACCTAAAGGTGAGTGAGTGTAGCGAACGAGCTCCAACCTAAAGGCGAGTGAGCGTAGCGAACAAACTTCAACCAGGACGTGATTAAGCCATGCAAACGAGATAATCTTGAAAATAAAGAAGTTAAACGGGGCAAAGCCCGCGGGTTACAGCTAGTTGTACTATATGTTTATGCAAGTGTATCTATACCTATTGACAGTAGTAGTTAATATGTTAATAACATATGGTAATTGTTCAACATATGTTTTGTGTTATTGTTTGATATTTTGATTGAGTTTTTGTTAAAATAGAAATACACAACCTTTCATGAATTCAGTATAATTATTTAATAATTAATCTAATGACATGGTGCCGAAACCCACACGGAATAGAAATAAAAGGTATGCCTTTAAGGAAGATGATGATATCCATACAAACCATACAGAAGACAAGGATAATAATGTAAAACCACCAAAATGTCTTGTGGTTTCAAGTACTCAGATGGCTCCTTCTTGGAAGAAATGGAAGCAACAGTGGAACTGGTACTACACAGCTTCTGGCCATTTGATAGGAAATCAAAAGCAGTACAGGTAGCATCATTTATGTCTAGTTTAGGCCCAGATGTTATAGATATATATAACAGTTTTGGTTTCATTGATGATGAAGATATTGAATTAGATGAAGTTGTTCAACGATTTGATAAGTTTTTTGTTGGTAAATCTAATGAAGTATTTGAGCGATTTTTGTTCAACAAAATCACCCAAGAAACCCATCAAAGTTTTGAAGAATTTTTTACAAAATTGGTTAACCAAGCTAATTCTTGTAATTTTGAGCAGCTAAAAAACAGTTTGATTAGAGATAGAATAGTAATTGGCGTATCAGATTCTAGCTTAAGGGAAAAGTTACTTTCTACTGATAAGCTTACCCTAGATGATGCAATTACTAAGTGTAGGGCACATGAACAAGCTAAGAAACAACTAGCAGAAATATCCTCTGACAGCCCTAAAAATGTTAATGTCGTTAAAATAAGGGATG